TATGCAAATGAGTTATGCAAATGAGTTATGCAAATGAGTTATGCTAATGAGCTCCTGCACCTCTTTTTCTACGAAATGACCCCTGGCTAGGCTCCATCGCATCCTCCAGGCACCGGAGGCGATGGGTGTGCCTTGGCCTGGGGTGACAGGATACCCTCCCTTCTCCCACAAGTATCTCATGCTGCATTCTCGCCTGGAGACATGCGATGGAACCTGCACTGCAGTCCGGGAACAGCCCCACCACTTGTGACTTCACGCTGCCAGGACTCATGTTTCAGGCCCCTCTGTCTGTTTGCATACAGGATCAAGGGGCAGGCCACTACGTGTCACAGAGGGAGCTTCCTGGGGGAGGAGGCGGAGGTGTTGAGGGTGCACCAGGAAAGCTTTTCTCCCTGCAAAGCCTGACGTTACAAACTCACTAAGAATCACCGCTACCGAAGCAGACAACGGCCTCTCCTCGTTTCCCTTTCCCACAGAGAAAGCATCAGCAGGCCACTCTTCCTCTCTCACCAATAGCTTTCTGTCAAACATGCAGGCAAGATGCAGGATGCGTGCCCCCCGGGTCTCAGAGGCAGGGCGCTCAGGATCTCCTCCCCTCCAGCCACGGTCCACCCCCCTCCCCAGCCCACCCGTCTGTGCAACACCAGATAGCAAAGATGAATGCCTTCAGAAAAGATCACTGAACAAGATCGCAACAAGAGTCAATGCTCTGAAAGGCTGAGATACTCATTTCTGGGGAAAATAAAGCATCCCCTCTGAAAAAATGTCCGCCTCCCCCTGCTGGTCTGAGACCAGGATTGTGGCTTCCTCCCCTTTTGTGTCTCATGAGCAGGGGTCATTTCCTGCAGGAGCGCACAGGAGCGGAGCTCCAGCAGTAAGGAGCCCAGGGGGCGGGCACATGCAACTAGCCCCGCCCCCAGCAGCCCTCAGTTGGGCCACGAGGAGCAAGAAGCAGCCAGGTAAGTTGCAGAGCCCCCCCTTCAGTTACAAGCCCTCCCCCCTCTGTGTGGGCAGATCTGCGCATCCCCTCCCCCCATAGCTAGCAATCCAAAACAGTCCAGTGGCACCTTTAAGACCAAGTTTTATTCAGGTACAAGCTCTCCCTCCTCTGGGAGGACAGATCTGCACGTCCGTCCCCCTCAATAGCTAGCAAACCACAACAGTCCAGCGGAGCCTGAGTGGTGGGTGTTGCCTTCTGACACACTTCCGGTGATGTCAGGGGGTGTGGCATATGCAAATAAACGATGCCAACACGTTATGCTAATGAGCTCCTGCACTTCTACGAAATGACCCCTGCTCATGAGTATTGCCTCCAGGGAGACCCAGGAGCCATGACAGTCCTCAGGCTGTCCTGGCAGAAGCAAAGCCCAATATTCTGCTCTCTTCTCCCCCCTCCCCCAGTCCCAAAATGCAGACTGTAACATTTTGGGGGACAGGAACTCTTCTTATGCTATTCTGAAAGAGGGTGCTGCATAAAACCCACACGAACAAAAGAACACTTGACACACAAATTCTTGCCGCGTGCATGTACCTAAACAAAGGTAACCCAGAGTGGGCAGGGGGCAGAATGTGTACTCACTTCCTACTCTGAGGTTGACCCGATACTTGAGATGCCACGACGATCCCTCGTAGCAGGAGTACAGGCCGCTGTGGGAAAGGTCCACGTGCCGCAAGACGAGCCAGGAACCGTTGAGGTGGGAGGCGTCGAGGTCCGTGTTGTTGGCCGTCCAGGTGACGACGGCGTCCCTGTCCACCGACCCGCACTGTAACGTCACGTCCTTGCCCAACTGTGCGTATTGAGTGTGGGAATCTGGGATGCAAACAGGAGAAGAGACTTATGGGTACTGTGGGGTGGAGGGACCCAGAGTGAAGAGCACGTGAGAGCATCAGCCTAGTGTGGCCTGCCCACAGTAGCCATTTATTCATTTACAGCATGATCATGCCACTTTCCCCACAGTGGCTTACTTGAGAAACACAATCAAAACAGCACAAAGCTGTAGTAAAAATAAAGACTGCCCTCCCCCAATAAAAACAGACACCAAATGCAGATCAGCCACATTTTAAAAAGGAGCTACAGGAAAATAAAGAATGTTTCCAAGAGAACCCCTCGCAGATACTGACCCTGTATGTGCCTTCCAATGGGAAAGGCATCTATTCTTAGTAGGGTTCCCAAGTACTTACCGCGATCCGGCGGGGGACACATGCTCCCCGGCCGGAACATTCCTCATCAGGAGGTCAAGCAGTGGGGCCAGGACGCTAGAAGCCCTCCCACTGTTGCCCCCCCCCAAGCACCAAGAAGACAGAGCATCACTTGCCCCAGAGCCCCTCTCTATACCTTGTGGCTAATAGCCACTGACGGACCTCTGCTCCATATGCTTATCCAATTCCCTCTTGAAGCCTTCCATGCTTGTAGCTGTTGTATGGCTGTGAATTCCATGTGTTAATAACTCTTTGGGTGAAGAAGGACTTCCTTTTATCTGCTCTAACCTGACTGCTCAGCAGTTTTAAGCATTCAGGAATGCATTGATGGTCTTTATCCATTACGAAGGAGACTAGAAAGGTTGGGAAAGAGTGGGAGGGGGCAACAGTTCAGCCTAGCGTAGGACAGAAATGCAGACAGGGGAAGAGGAAGGTTAAGCATTAGCAGGGGTGTCAAACATGTGGCCCGGGGGCCAGATCAGGTCCCCGGAGGGCTTCTATCAGGCCCGCAGTGGAACTGGCCATCTCCTGCTTCTTCTTCCAGTTCCGCTGCTGCTGCATCATCATAGGTTTGCAGCTTACAGATACACACCTGAACAGCATACTCAAGACTGCAACAGCACAGACATTTTGATGCCATAATTCAGAGCAAGAGGTGTCAGGTATCAGACACTGTTAAATAAACAAAATATAGAGTTTGTGTCCTTTATAACGTTTATATCTCCGCTTCCTGACATTACATTTGATGACACACCTGGCTCGGCCCGGCTCAACAAGGTCTCATTTATGTCAGATCCGGCCCTCGTACTAAATGAGTTCGACACTCCTGCATTAGAGGAAACTTCTAGACTGCAAGGGCAGTTCAGTGACAGGACAAGCCAGCCGTGGAAGCGGAGGGTTCTTCTTCCTGTAAGGGCTTCCAGGTGAGGCTGGACTGGCATGGGACCAGGGTTCTTTGGGAGTAGGAAGGGCGATCTATGAATTTAATAAATTTAATAATGACGATGATGTCCTGCTTCAGGGCAAGAGTCCAGCTAGGCCGGCGTCCGTCTCCTTGCAAGCCAGTCGTCCTAGGAAAGGCATTCCCCCTCCAGAGGAACCCCCCCCTCCACGCGCTCCTTGGGACTCGCAACAGAAGTCCAACAGATTGGCGAGGCCTGACCCCTCTCTTTGACAAAAGCTGTGTCGACTCTGCCCGAATTTCAGCATGTTTATCTACACAACTAATAAATCTGCATCCTTTGCGGCAGCCGCTGCCAATTCGCCTTTCGCTCCAGCTGTGGAACTTCAGCGCCTTTCACTCCGGAGGGATCCCCGCCAGACAAGAGATTGGGGGGGGGGGGGGGTAGGAACAAAACCAAGAGCCTGTTCGAACACTGCCGCCCCCCCCCCCGAGAATCTGACCCAGGATTGAACCGAACCTGTCAGTTTGCCCTTCTGCTGCCTGAGGGCCAAATTGGACACTCCTTTGGCAAAAACACATGGAGATAACAGCAGGGCTGGGAGGGAGGTCATTTTTGGGGAGGTCCCCCAAGAGGGGGAAGGGGGTATTTAACCCATCTTGCACCTGCCAGGAGTGCTCTGAAAACTGACCTGGCCCATAATGTATTTCCCCACCACAGGGTGGGGGTGACGACACACGCGTGCACACGCACACACCATTCTCTCTGGCTGGTGCACCGGCATTTCATGAACACAGTTTAGATTTGGCATAGAATCATAGAATGTTAGAGTTGGAAGACACCTTGCAGGTCATCTAGTCCAACCCCCTGCACTCTGCAGGAGCACAGCCGAAAGAGAGCCCTACAACAGACCCAAAAGATGGTCGTCCAGCCTCCGCTTGGAAACGTCCAGCGAAGGAGCATCCACCCCCTCCTGAGGCAGACTGTTCCACTGCTCAACCACTCTTACAGTTAGGAACTTTCTCCTGATATTTAGCAGGTATCGAATTCTACTTTGTGAGCTACTGGCATTAAAGTTGTGAGCGAGTGATTTGGCTGCTGCATTAATTAGTTTGCTCTGGAGCCCTCCTCCCTGAGCTGAGACAAAAATGTGTGAACCGGAGGCTAAAAACTGTGAGCTGGCTCACACTCACTCAGCTTAGAGGGAACGCTGCCTGCAACAGACCCAAAAGATGGTCGTCCAGCCTCCGCTTGGAAACGTCCAGCGAAGGAGCATCCACCCCCTCCTGAGGCAGACTGTTCCACTGCTCAACCACTCTTACAGTTAGGAACTTTCTCCTGATATTTAGCAGGTATCGACTCCCTTGTAATTTCCACCCATTAGATATAGTCTGGCAATCCGAAGCAAGAAAGAATAGATCTGCTCCATCTTCTACATGAAAGCCCTTCAGATACTTGAAGATTGCAATCATGTCCCTCTAAGCCTTCTCTTTCCCAGGCTAAACAGACCCAACTCTTTCAGCCTTTACTCATAAGACTTGGACTCCGACCCTCTCACCATCCTGGTTGCCCTCTTCTGGACACGCTCGAGCTTGTCAACATCCTTCCTAAAATGTGGTGCCCAAAACTGGACACACGACTCCAGGTGAGGCCTGACCATAGCAGAATAGAGCGGAACTATCACCTCCCGTGATCTGGACACAATGCTTCTGTGAATGCACCCTAAGATTGCATTAGCTTTCTTCGCAGCCACATCGCACTGCAGGCTCATGTTTAGCTTCTGATCAACCAGAACACCCAGATCCCTTTCACAGGTGCTGCTGTCAAGCCAAGTCCCTCCCATTCTATATCTGTGCCTTTGATTTTTTGTACCTTTGGTGTTTGGCATGGGTGCCCCCACTTGGGATAAAACTGCAATCCTCTTTTCCT